CCTCATCTTATGACATTAAGTTTTACATATTATGAGGTTTTAATTCATATAATTTATTTATGACCCCCATCTTCTATTTATGACCCCTATATTATATCATTTTATGTCATATTATGTCATATTATGTCATTTGAGATTATGTAAGATGATATAACTTGGGGGTCTTAAATTTTTTTGGGGGGTCCAAGAACCCCCTATAGTAGTTAAATGTCTAAAAAGTTAACTTAAATGTTCAAAGTCCGTTCTAACCTGGAATTTTTATCCCAGAAAACTAACGGAAAGGATTCTTGATTTATCCCCTGTGCAATACTATTAATGAAATTTCGAAAAGAAAATGTTCCTTCTATTTATCTTATCAATTGGGTTGTATTAATTGGTCATGGCTTCCAATAATGAAACTTCCACATTTATCATGGTGTAAAAAGTAAATAAATGCTTGAGCCTTGTAGGCCTGGTGTTCACAAAGTTATAGAAATTCTATATTACAGAAAATCTGGCATCACGTTCGAGATCATAATCAACATTACCATAATTTGGAAATTTGGATTTGGGGTGTGTCTAGTATTTATTTGATATAAATCAATAGATACGCCTTAGGTTAAGAATATATTCTAATTTAAAACAAGGTTAATACTTATAGATTATGGCGTGATCATTTCTATAACCATTATTACCGCGGGTTTTAGTAAAATGTTTGTTTGCTGTTTGTTTTTCGTTCTATTTTATAGTAAAAATAAGGCCATTAATTTTCTTTGTGATTTTTTCACATTTTGTGGCCTTTTATATCTTACTCTTCGAATCGGTATGGTATTGCCTATTGGTGAAAACCCTACATTGACTTGTAATTTGTCCCATCTTTGTCCTTTGTCTTCACGGCAAGTAGTAATGTTTGCAATCATACATTATTTTTTATCAAATTGCTTAGATAGCGGATATCAGTCGTATCAGCCCGTTGGTCTAATAAGAGATAGTTTGAAAGTAAAATATGGAGTAAATTTTAAAAATCAAAATTATTCTTTATATGCTATTTCTTAATCATGAAAAAAGCTTCTGTTTACGTTAGCTAAAATTCAATGTTTGTTTAAAGAAACGAATTGGTCGGATTTCCAGGAAAATGTGTGGCTAAAACTAAAATTTATATAGTTTATATGAAACTATATTTTGTCTGGCGTACAAAATTTTAGTCCTGGTATCTATAATGAGTTTACTTACAACCACTGGGTCGATTCCACTGCTAGTGGATGTTTCCTCTCCGGGAATAACCAGCCCAGTAGTCAGCATTTCTGTGTTAACATGAACTATCATATTCTTACAAAATTTTAAATTTTTCGAAATAATATGGATTTTCTACCCCAGGAATAGATTACCTTAGCTGTATGTTGCAAATCCTATCGGAAATTTGGGTCCTGAATGCTCATCAACTTCGTACTTTATTTAATAGAAAAGAAAAGAATTTTTTTTCGACGGTCACTGATGAGTCTTTTGTACACGAAACGCCCGTCTGGCGTACACAATTGTTAATCATGTTATCTATGATGAGTTTATATAAAAATAAGAAGATGTGGTATGATTGCCAATGAGACAACTCTCCACCAAGACTAAATGAAATAGAAGTTAACAACTATACACCACCGTACGGCCTTCAACAATATTAGACTGTATTTAAATAAAAGCTATTTAAAAAAAGTCCATTTATAAGTGCAAAACGGATAAAAAAAAAATTGATCAGGGTGCTTTACTTTGATCTTGAAAAGTTTTTGTCCAGGTTTTGTAAAATTCCATTAAGGTTTGACAAAGTAATTGAAGTGAAAAATAACTATAGACTGAATCTAGATGTTACCGCCGCCGACAAAAATGGTCAATATCAGTTTTTTTTTTTTTTTTTTTTTTTTGGGGGGGGGGGGGGGGGGGGGGGGGGAGTCAAGAATTTTACATTAAGAAACCTTTACAATAATTCGTTCTTTTATTTTGGTTTTAGTTTAGTATTTTAAATTTGAAAAAGTTACATTCCTGTGTTAACTGCCACACGAGGAAAAATAATTTGGGTCAGTAGATAAAGAATGTTTGAAAATTTCTTGAGACCAAATTCCTAATCATTGAAATCTGTTTTTTTATCCACGTTTGCCATTTTGTTCACATGTAGAAATTTGGTGTCAAGAAATGTTCAAACATTCTTTATCCAAGTACTTAAACAATGGTTTATGGTCGTTTATAAAATACAGATCGATCAGATAACCGTTAACACATAGACATTTTTTGATTTTTTTGATTTAACAATTAACTTAATGTTGCAATTCCATGTTATTGGCAATGGCTCATGTACATTGTAAATTAGCAAATAAAATATGTTTAAACTAAACATTATACATGTATGAAGTTGTACAATGATTATGTCCATGCACATTGAACATGTATAAACTATGCTTGGCCGTGGCAATGGGCATTTATATGTTAATAATTTATAACTGATAATAGATGTATTAAAAAATAATGGAAATATAGTATATGCAAATTTAAAGACAAAAAGAAAAGCACTTATGTTTCGCGAATGGAATTATATGTCAATGATACATTATAGCCCGTCCAATATGCGATACTATTTTTGCACATAAGATTCATGCATTTTAAATATTGACTAAATCATTTAGGCATTTTACAAAATGCCTGAAATTATTTTATAGAAAAAATGAGCAATTGAAAGTATCAAACAAAAGAGCAGTTTTATCTATGATAATTAATGAATTTTAAAGCTTACATTCTAAGAGTTTTAATAATTAGAAATAAATTCTACTGAATTATTTAAAATTCCCAAAAGCACAGAACTCGACAATTATTTGTTATTTCATATAACGTTTGGATGGCAGGATATGTTACACATTTGTCCTGTTGTTTTTTAAATACATCGTTTGGAATAAAATCTGGTCTTAACACTAGAATAACCACCTTACCATTTTGGGCACCTTTATTTGTCTCATCTTGGTCGATTGTCAAGATTTAACAACGGTCAACTAACGATGCATTAATTCATCCGATTGTAAAAACCCAAGGATTCTTTAGGCAGAGAAGATGAAGATACACATATACCTTTGCATCACAACTAGACACGAAATTGTATGGCGAAACCAATGCTATATACCAAGGGAATCTGTTTGACTGTGCAGAATGTATAAATTCGAAGCAACTTTTCTGTCCCTATCCAACATAACTTCATTTCAAGTAACAGTCAAAATACCTGGTCTTTATCCGGGTTTTAATCTATTGCATAACTTAGCTCCTTGATTAGTTATTATTTTATTCTCGTCTTAAATATACGTGAAATATTCGCTACTGAATGCAAACAAACAATAACCAGTCAATAAAAAATTATTTTTCGCTGCTTCATATCACAAACTTCTGTTTTAAATCTAGATTTTCAAAAAATTAGTCTCTAAACTTTTTTCTATCGTAAGAACAATTTGTCCTTCTGCCATCATGACAAGATGATCATAAAATTATACAATACAGAGTGATTACATACTTTACGTAGTTCCACTAAAAAGAATACAAACTTTCCAAGCTTGATTTGGAAGATAAACTCAATTTTACAAAATAATAATTTATTTTCTTTGCAAGATATTGTGGCAATTTGTTGAATTTGTTCCTAATTTAAGTCATTTTACAAAATGAATAGATATTTTCAGTCATTTCATATAATGCCTGTCAAGGTTAGGCATTTCATAAATTGCCTGAAAATTCAGTCATATTACAAAATGCCTAAATTTAGAAAAACTGTAACATATATAAAAAACAAAAGTTTTGTCCCAGTATTTATACATCAAAACGTTGTTCTTTGTTTTGATCGAAGGGATTTTGTATCAATATATATCTCTAGAACAGCACATCAAACTTATTTTTAAACATTTAAAATGATAAGGGAGACAGACAAATTTGTTTCCTTTTCTTATTGTTTCCTTTTCTTATTGTTTCTTTTTCTTTCAAATTACACTTTTTATCCATTTATCATAGACTACCCAAAACTTGTTGCATTAAACCATGAATAAAACCTTACTATATGGAGATAATGCATGCAAATTCCGCGTAAGATTATTGTGTCAAACGAAAATATTGGTTCTATTCCTGTATTGGTGAGATGAATGTTTTGCATTGCTACAATACGGCATTGGAACTTTTCCTCTTGTTTGTCTGGATATTTTGATTAATCCATAGATAAACTCATCATAGATCTCGTACTAGGCTTAAAACTTAGTACGCCAGACGCGCGTTTTGTCTACAAAAGACTCACCAGTGACGCTCGAATCAAAAAAGTTAAAAAGGCAAAAAAAAAATACGATTTTGAAGAGCATTGAGTACCCACAATTTCAAAACGTTTTGCCAAACACAGCTAAGGTAATCTATTCCTGGGGTAGAAAATCCGTAGTTTTACGAAAAACGAAGTTTTGTAGATATATTAATTTTGCATTATTGCTCCTGGCAAAGATTTTTTTTAAAGGTAAAAAGTATTGTAGAGTAGAAGGTCTGTATGTTTTAGATAACTATATCTCAATTATGGTATTTCTCTGATATTATAGTGACATCAACTGATATTTCTTACCTGAACTTACCAGATCATAGATTGAATACTGATCAACAAAATTATTCTATATTTGTATCTCTGTACGCAAAAACGATCTAGCGTATAAATTTATTAACTATGCTTTTAATAAAAAATTGAGTTACAGCTCCTTTAAACATAATTTCATCCTTACACAGCTTTAGTTGTAGTGTTCATGTAACTTATTTGGTTGATGCTCTTGCAAGATTTCAGTTTTTGGTTTTGGTAGTAAAAGTCTTTTTTTTTCTTGCTGATAAAGATTTACTCCTTATGTCGTAAGCACCTGTGTCGGTTTTATAGATATATTTTATTGTATTTCAATGAAGAAAACTTTACTAGCTCTATACCAGCTTCTTATTTGGGTAGAAAAAAATAGCACAGGTGAGAATGTCATAAACTAAACACAAACCTCTTTTTTACGTTGAAATCTACAAAAAAACATTTTGTAATCTGTGAAAGATGATCCTCTATAAAATATGATGACATACAGGAAAATCAACGCCAAGATCGTGATAAGCACGCAGCAAATTGTCATGGTGATATATGTAATCAACAAATGGCAATCATCACCACTTTTAACGGTCCATTGAGGACATACTTTTAAACAGCTTTTCTGATATGTAAAATATCCCTTTCCGCAATCGTATTTCGAAATGCATTGCGTTCCTTTCGCCAGATAATCAGATGGACACTGTTTATAACATTTAATTCCCTTTTTCAAGTATGTATAATCTTCGTACCTTAACGGAAACGAAGATGGACAGGTATCCAAACATTCGATACCTGCTATAACTTTCCCAGGTGGACATTCTTTTACGCAATTCGCTCCATTAAGAAAAAACTTCTGCGAACATCTGTTTGCGCATCTTCTTCCAATAAGTGAATGTTCTATATACTTCTGGAATGGACATTTTTCTATTTGTTTGCATATGTTATTGACTATCAGGCCTTTTGAACAATTTCCGACACAACGGTTACTTATCTCTTCAAGAAACAGGTGTTGCGGACATTTGTCATGACACTTTTTACCCTGACGTGTTGTTTCAATAACTGCATCATATCTGTCACAACGTTCGACACATCGTTGATTCTCTATGTATATTGAATCGACAGGACACGAACTAACACAAGACAAGTTATTTTTCAAAACTGAGTTTTTTGGACATACACGAACACATGATTGAGATTGGGAATCAGTGATTGGATGGGAATTGGGGCATATCTTAATACATGAAGATAAATGACTTTTCATTCCACCAGGACATTTATCAAAGCAAGTATTATTATGCATAAATTTCTCGTTGGGACATTCGTATACACATTCGTAAATCCCGTAGCCCTTCTTATTTCTTGTGTAATTCAGTGGGTGAGAAACTGGACATTGGAATATACATTTAGAATCAAACATAAATGAGTTCATTGGGCATTTTGTCACACATGACAAATTAAAATAAAATGTATTTTTAGGACATTTTTGTTCACAATACCATTTTGAGTTAATAATGTATTCATATGGCCGAATTGTATCACATTCACTCGCACATGAATTTTCATAATAGTATTTAGCGGTCTGTGGACAAACAAATACACAATATGTTTCATTGTAAAGCCATGTATTCGAAGGACAAGTTTTTACACATTTGAACTGATTAGGCAAGATATAGGTATTATGAAAGGCATAAGGTAGATCTTTCTCACAGGTCCTTACACATGACCATTTGTATTGTAATTTTGCTTCGGAAGGACAAACGGATACACATGTAGTGTTTGCATGTAGTATACTGCAACTACCAACACAGTGGTATGTGTTACGGGTAGTTAATTCCTTAAACAATTTTTCTTGTGGACAAGTTGCCACACATGAGCCATAAACTTCGAATTCCGCTTCCTTTGGGCATTTTGTTAAGCATGTGTTGTTGTATGTAATTGGAGTTGAACAGTTTTTTACACAAGTAAAATAATTATTTCGTGGCATTTTATACAAATGAGAAACTGGGCATCGTTCATAGCAGATGCCATTAAATCCAATGTTTTTGTCTAAAGGACAGGACACAACGCATTTCGAATTGTTGTAAAGAAATGTTCCGTCTGGACATGAAACAACGCAGTGATAATTATGTTTATACTTAACGATATCTCTACTGCCCCAGCTATAAATGGTCGCCTTTATCTTTATTATTTCATCGTACTCTAATGGAAGACCACTCCCACATTGGTTTACACATGTCGAATTATACTTGAATTTTGCATTTGATGGACAGGTAGATACACAATTATTTTTGAAATGTAGTAGTTTACAGCTTTGTGTGCACCTAGTATTTACCTTTGTTAATTCCATGAATGGGTATTCATCAGGACATGAAGCTACACAAGATCCATTGAATTCGTATTTTGCCATCTTTGGACAATTGTAATAGCAGGTGTTTTTATACAGCAATTGTTTTCGTTTACACTTGTCAACACATTTAGATATGTCATCTGACACTATAAAAGGATTATCAGATGGACATGCAGCTAAACAAGATCCATTCAATTCATATTTGGCATTGAATGGGCAAGTCTGCACACAACTTTTGTTAAACTCTAAATGTTTGCATCCCTCAACACAGTTAACGCTACTGTGACTCGGTTCCATAAATGAATGTTCCGAAGGACATGAAGTTAAACAGAAGTTGTTAAATACTTTTTTTGCCTCCGCCGGACAATAAAATACGCATGTCCAATTATACTGCAGATGTGTGCATTTATCAACACATTTAACACCTCTGTATGTTTGTTCCATAAACGGGTGCTCATTTGGGCAAGTTTTTAAACATGATACATTAAATTCATATTTAGCAATTGGTGGGCACCTATCTGTGCATAAGTTGTCAAAGGCAACATACCTGGGATCGTTACTATACTTTGTATTGTCGATTGTATTACAAACTTTGACACACGAGAACTCCGCCCGATCGGAATTTATTTCATCAGTTTTAATGAAAGATTTTGGATACAAGTATTTATGGCTTAAAGGACATTCCGTAAGACATGTATTATTAAACAAGTGTTTTCCTTTAGGACAAAAATTAACACATCTATCATTATCAACTACTGTGTTAATAGGACATTGTTCTTCACATGTATATATTTCATTATATTTTGAATTTTTCAAAAAAAGAAAAGATGCTTCATCTGGACAACTACTGTAGCATGTTTTGTTAAATAAAAGAGGTTTTGAAGACGGACAATTTAGATTGCAACTTTTATTCTTTGATATTTCTTCAGTATATTCTGGACAGTATCTTACGCAACGCAAGAAAAAATCTGTTTGTAAAATGTAAGGGTGTGTGATTGGACATGAAGTGGAACATACTTTTCTACCATTGGAACAAATTCCTTCGCAATCATAAAATGTTATAAACGGCATATTAGTTGGACATTCCATTATACACGTCTGATTATACTCAACTGTAAACTCAGGACATGTTCTAAGACAATCCATTCTGTAGCAAAGAGGATACTCGTCATTACAAGGTGTTGTCTGACAGGATATCTCGGTTTTGAAATAGCAAAAATTCGCTAATTCCGTTTTTAATATCTTAGAAAAAACTGGGCATGTTAATACGCACTTCTGATCATAGACGAATGTCCCTAGAGGACATAATTTTGTACATTTGTTCATTCCAGGAAGATATACTTCTGTCGGTAAACAAACCATGGAGAATACCTACAAATAGAAATAGGATATAGTTTAACGCCGCCTATGCTTCTAAATATAGAACCAAGTATGTAAACATACATTTGTAGAGTACAGAGAAAGCATCAAAAGCTCTGATGACCAAGTACAAGAGACGTATCATCTGGTTAATTAGAAATATATAGTCAAATATCTTTTGAAAATCATTGAAATCGAGGATACCATGTTCATCGGTTTTTTTTTTCTGTATGCAACTATATATCATAAACTAATATTGCATTAAACTTTTCTTAATGTGCCAATAAGACATTTATTCATCAAAGACAAAAGGTCGTGGATGTAAGCAACAAAAAGTCGCCGTACACATGGTACAGCCTTCAACAATGAGTTAATCTAATATAGTATAGTAAGTTATAAAAACCTCTGCAATGACAATAAGATCACCCCACAGTGTTTGGTACGGTTCGTATTACTCAGTCTTTGGTTTTCCATATTGTGTTGTTTGACTGTACTGTATTATTGACTGCAAAAACGTTTTTGTCGTCTTTTTAAGATTTAATTGTCCATTTGTATGGATTTTTTCAACTCAGTTTAGTTGTATATTTATGATATAAAAATAAGAAGATTATGATGTATGTTTACAGAAATTTGGCTGCTGGATCCCTATTATTGTAACGTTAATCAATTATGTCTGTTTGGACGCCATCACGAATTGTTTGACCGTTATGGAGTAACTGTTTCACAGATGACGACGAGTATGTTCCAGAAGAGGGACGAAAGATACCAGAGGGACAGTCAAACTCACAGATCGAAAACAAACTGACAACGCCATGGCCAAAAATAAAGACAAACAGACAAATAATAGTACAAATGACACAACATAGAAAACTAAAGACTAAGCAACACGAACCCCACCAAAAACTGGGGGTGATCTCAGGTGCTCCGGAAGGGTAAGCAGATCCTGCTCCACATGTGGCACCCGTCGTGTTGCTTATGTTATTACAAATCCGGTAAATAGTCTAATTCGGTAGGTCACATTCGTGAAAAGGGAAGGGTATTGTAGTTACGACATAAGGAACATATCCGATATCATCTGTGAAACGGTTATTCCATAACGGTCAACCAACTCGTGATGGCGTCCGTAAAATTTACGAAGGGATGATTTCAACTTCACCGTTTGGAACTCTTGGTTTAATAGCTTCCTTGTGAGGATAGGAAATACAAGCCCGGGAATATCGTATCAATTAGGAGATATATACAATTGTCGTAACCGCAGTCCCGTCAACTACCTATACAATGTGAGGAATACGACTGCCTATACAATGTGAGGGATACGACTGCCTGTACCAAGTCAGGAATACGACAGTTGTCTAATAGCCAAAAGTTGCTTGATATAGTTGAGCGTTTTATTTTGCCAGTTTTTATGGATATCCCATTTTAAATTCAAATTGAAGTTCGTTTTTTTTGTTAATAGTTTTCTTTTGTATACTGTTGTTCGTCTTTTAGGTTATGGACATTTATCTTGGTTTTTTACTTGATACAATTTCTCACAAAAAATCGATGAAATGTAAATTAAAACTGTACATTCTGAGAATGTCTGCTACGGAAAATTTCGGGAAAGTGCTTTCCCGTATTTTCCTTTAATAATGTTAATTTGGGAAGATAACTGCATTTCCAGTTTTTTTTCTTGTGTATTCTTCTTAGGGGTTTGATTTGAACTTTTGGGGTGTTTATGATGAGACTTAATATTCATGTTATTTTCGCAGGTGTCCTTAGAACTTTGCGCGTTATTTTTTCAGGAGTTTGTTTCAATAGTTTCTAAGTTGATCCAGTCGGATAATAAAGCCATTGTATTTTTTCAGCGGTTCTACTGCTGCCGACTTTTTGCTTCAGAATTAGATATTGTTTGCGTTTTTACTTTTGGATGGGGTTTATGTAATATCGAAATGACCTTTGTCTGCTCCAATAATGCTAGGTCCAAAACAAGTTTTTCTTAAATTCTTTTAAGATTATACACACAAAATAATGTTTTTTTTATATTTTGTCAAAAATGTAGTATGATATGTTAAAAAAATATAAACAAAAAGAGTGCCAGGTCACTGAACTTGTTTTCAAGCTACAGATGGTGTAGACACTATACAAAACAATAAACGAAAACAAACATGATCAACAGCAACAAACAACGACCACCACTCAATTACAGGCTCCTGACTTGGGCCATGCACATATGGAATGTGGCGGGGTTGTTTGTTGGCGCCAAACCCTCCACCTAACCTTGGATAGTGGTGCTATCTTGCTCTTCAACTTTTGTATTTCAACGTCTTATATAGACGAAACATATTTATGATGTGCGAACTTATACATCTTGATATCTTTGATGAGTTTTTTTTTTTCAAATGAGTCACAGCTGCTTTTGATCCAAAACTTTAGTACGCTTTCAACATAGTTTTTACCATATGCCTTATTAAAAAAAAATCATTATAGATACCACTATCAAAGGTTAGGGGGAGGGTTTGGCGCCAACAATCAACCCCGCCACATTCCATATGTGCCTGGCCCAAGTCAGGAGCCTGTAATTGAGTGGTGGTCGTTGTTTGTTGCTGTTTATCATGTTTGTTTTTCGTTTATCGTTTTGTATAGTGTGTTCTTGTGTTGTGCTGTTGCACCACTGTTCGAAGTTAGGGGGAGAGTTTGGTGCCATCTAACTACTTAAACCCCGCCACATTCTATATGTGCCTGTCCAAAATAATCAGGAGCCTTTAATTCAGTGGTTGTCGTTTGTTGCTGTATATCAATGTTTTTCGTTCATTGTTGTGTACATAAATCAGGCCGTTAGTTTTCTCGTTGAAATTGTTTTACATTGGTCATTTCGTGGCCTTTTATAGATGACTATGCGTTATGGGTTTTGCTCATTGTTGAAGGCCGTACGGTGACCTGAAGTTGTTAACCTCTATATCATTTGGTCTGTGGTGGAGAGTTGTCTCATTGGCATTCATACCACATCTTCTTATTTTTGTATGAAATACAGAAAATTCAAAAAAGTTGTGCCAAATATGGCTCAGGCAATCTATGCCATGGGTAACAAATCTAAGTGTCAAAGTCGGCAATTTCAATTTCGTTCTGTGAGTGCGGTTGTCATGTAGTAGTAAGTTACCATATTCAGTGACATGACGTCACGCCAGTTACGTGAGAAAATCTTAGCTATGAAACAGAAATGAAAAGTTCCCGAACATGACGTCATAAATCACGTGACTGAACGTGACATCAGACGCTTACTAATTAAAAGCAAACATTTTTTTAGGTATTTTTTTGCGTCATAGCCGTAACAACGTAAACAGTCTGAGGTCATTTTCGTTCACGTGATTGATAACGCCATGTACATCATCTTAAGGTGGATCATCGGTATATATTTCCTAGGATAGGATAGGATAGAGTTTTCTTATACTTTTCCAAAATGTAGGTTTTACCATACTTTTTTCAAAAATATAATAAAAAGTATGGGTCACCGTATTTAGTTGGAAATGCTCTTGCCTCTTAGAACATGAAACCAAATTACATACATGATATAGAAAACTGATACATTTAGACATGATTTAACAACAAATGGAGATAGCCAGGGATTCAGTTTACAATCTGATAAACGCTACTGCAAGACTTTTCAGGAACCTGAAGATTACGAGCACATTATGGAACACATTACCTACACTACCAAGGGTTTCCATACATTTCGGTCAACTCCTTTACTAGATAAATGGAGAATGTGTCCCAATGTACACAGATGATGCCCCCGCTTGCATACAACATTATAAAGGGATATAACTCAAGAACGATAAAAGTGTATTATGTATAGGTTTCATAATGTTTGGTTGGGGCAAACTTAAGTTACAGAATGGAAACTAAAAAATTAGCAATTTTTCTATTTATAAAGGGACATAACTCGATAATGTTTAAGTTACGCCACCAAAATTCAACTTGATCTGTGTTTTGTGGTAATTGGCATTGTGTATAAGTTTTATAACATTTAGTTAAGGCAAACTTAAGTTAGAGAATGGAAACTAAATATTTTGCAATTTTAACATTTATAAAGGGCATAACTCTAGAACGGTTAAAGTGACGCCATCAAAATTCGAACTTGATCTGTATTTTGTGATAATAAGCATTGTGTATAAGTTTCATAACATTTGGTTGAGGCAAACTTAAGTAAGAGAACGGATACTAAAAATTTTGTAATTTTTCCATTTATAAAGGGACATAAATCTAGAACAGTTAGAGTGACTCTACCAAAATTCAAACTTTATCTGTGTTTTGTGGTAATAAGCATTGTGTATAAGTTTCATAACATTTGGTTGAGGCAACATCAAGTTAGAGAACGGAAACCAATTTTGGGACGTACGGACGTACGTACAGACGGACAAGGGTAAAACGTAATGCCCCCTCCGCTACGGCGGTTGCACAAAAAGGCGAGCCTAAAGGTAACGTATGCGGTCACTTCCAATTGATGATTTAAAAATCACAATTCACGACAAATAAGACCTGAAAACAACTTTTATATTCTCGTATTGATGCCTTTACTGAAGATGCTTCTATTGAAAATAAATCAACATTGGTGAAATATGTCTTCTGTAATATTTTATTTAAATCTACCCAATAACTTTGCATTTTATGGTCCGGAATTTTTTAAGAGCTTCTTGGACGTTAGACAAAACGTCCTGTCAAATCAACATAACATTATGCTCACAGTAAAAACTTCGGAATAACATGGTAACGTTATGTAGTACTAAAAATTTCATAAAACAAATCGGAAAAATGGTTGCCGTAGGGTAACACTCTCAGCTGTATAATTGGACTGACATTTATACATATGGAAGATATAATGAAGAGGCATAATTATATTTATTGAGGAGTCCACAGGTAAAATGTCACTGTTACTAAAACTAGAAAACCAAATGAAAATTTGTTTCCGGGTGGTAGGTTGAGTTGCACGAAACTTATGCAGATGTAAGATATAGAGAAGGGAAGACGCCTATTGATTTTGGGATCAATAGATCATTGTTACTTAAAGTAGAAAGTTAAATGGGGAAGGATTTCGGTTATATTAATATCTCCTTTCCTTACCGTAATAAATTTACTACTGAAACGTCGAAAACTGCATATAAAATATTTCGTACTGCTATAGGCTGCGAATGATTAACTGCATAACAGATAACCGATTAACAGTGACATTTATATACAATAAAACTCGGAACATTAAGACCTTTTTACATAGATCATCCTTTTATACAATAGACTATTGCTTGTGAAAAATTTTATCAGTGTAAAACGCATTGAAAAATAAATTAACATAAAAACAGCACATATAATTACGACAATACATCTTTGTTTGTAACATAATTGTCTTTGTTTGGGTACCAATGCGTGCTCGATATGTAAATAATGCAACCGCTCTAGCCCTGGGTGCTTTTTAAGTAGTCAAACGAGCAAAAAATAGTCAGTCATCAATTAATAAATCATTTTAAGTCGAATGAAATCGAAAGTGAAACCCCCAAAACATATTAATTTTAAGATAAGCGTTAAGAATCATACATGTCAGTTATAACTACAATGTAATGAAAATTTTACCTACCGTGATATTAATATTCACGCACAAAAGTTGATAAAACAGTGATGTTTTGATCATTTTCAATTACGTGATAAATCACGATCCAACTGTTTAAAAGACATATGTATGTCATGCATATTATTAAATACGCATTGTCATTCCATATGCAAAATCAATACACCAGATAGGCTCAAGGTAAGAATGCTCTCTTAAAAATAAGAACAATGATTTTGATATAATTATTAATTGTATTGATTTAACTTGAAAATACTAAGAATTTTAATTTTGAGGAGCAGGAAAATGAATACTGCATTTGTTTTTTCATGCTCCATTTCCGACAACGTACGTTGTATAAAAACTTTTCAAATGGCATGCATTTATAAATTATAATTAAAAAAAATGTATTTTATACTTATCTTCTTAGTTGATGTGACTGATGTAGATTCTATGACTGCTACACTACCCGAAAGAATTAAAACAGTTCGATAAAGAGTGTAACATGATAAATCCTAAAAGAACAGCTAGCATTAAACGAAAGTCTCAGCGAATGGTTTTGGTCCGTTGCATTACAGACGGCTATAAATGTTAAACTAATAAAATTCAGGCTTTAAAGGTTTCAGATGTTGAATTTGATCAAAATAATAAACTACTAATAGAGTGAAAGCATATATAAAAGGGCGAAAAGATAATGTACGTAATCAAAGCAAAGTAACTGATCCGGGAAATTATAACAGATGATTCACTTTCTTTTGGGGAGCAGTGTGTCAGGAACCATAATTCAAGGCAATTTCTATGCATTAAAATTCTTTTACAGAATATTTGATCATCATACACATTTGATGTTATACAGGGAATTACTAGGTCAATCCCTGAGGTTCTCCAGACATCGATTTTATTTGCTATTAAAATAGATAAACAGGTTGTAAGGTTTTCATCTTGGATATACCTGCTCCAGAAGCTGAATTTGTTTGTACTAGCAGATGTTCTGAATAATTATCATATTAGTTTGCCTCTTTTTCTGTCTTATAAAATGATGTCCAATGAAAAAACTAACAATGTGATTGGATAAAACGAAAAACGACGAAAAGACGAACCAGTACACAAAACATAACATAGAAAACTTAAGATTGAGCAACACGAACCTCATCAAAATCCGGGGTGAAATCAAGTACTCTGGAAGGCTAGGCAATTTCTGCTTCACATGTTGCAACCTTCGTGCAAGTGCAAAACCGGTGCGTGCTAAGTCTCATTCTGTGATGTTTCAATCTAGGAAAAGAGGACGAGATTATGGTTACGAAAATTGGAACATATACGTAGCCATCTGTATATATTCCATAACGGTCAACCAACTCGGAACGGCGTCCATAAAACTCAAAGGCATGACTTCAATTTTACTGCTTGGAACATTTGTTTTGCTAGCTCTAAGTTTAATGCTTAATTGTCTTTTATATGCTACAACCACTAGTTATGAAAATGTTTATAAATTAAAACTAACAGATCCTAGATATGTCGATCCTAGATATGTTGAGACTTCACAGATGACGATGGATATGACCTAATTGTCGTTACCACAATTTGAATATCATCATGACCAAATCACATGACTAACACGACGGGTGCCACTCGCGGAGTACGATCTGCTTACCATTCCGATGCACCTAAGATATACCCGGGTTTTGATAGTGTTCGTGTTGCTCAGTCTTTAGCTTTCTATTTTGTGTTTTGTAGACTGTTGTTCGTCTTTTGGTCGTTTTTTTCGTTTTTCCCATGGCGTTGGTAGTTTGTCTTCGACTTACGAATTTGAATCATCCATTGCTATCTTCCGCTTCTCTTTTTGGATTTATTTTAAGTTTTATTTATTTTACAAAATATCACCAATGAAATGTATTTCATTGATGGATTTGAATTCAAACTTTGAAATGCAGATAGCTTTATCATCAGCTTTTATAATACAATTGCTATGTCTACATAAATTAATCAAAGCTTAACATAATATTACTTTGTTTTATACATTCTATTTATAAACTTTAAAGTCTAGTGTCTAGTATGGGTTGTTTTACGACAGCAGAGAATACCTGGTTTTTGTATACGGTTTTCAGTTTTTTTCTCCAGGTAGAAAGTTACGCGCTATACATTCGTCGGGAGAATATTCATTTAGGACGTCAAAGATAAAAGGAAAATTGCAATGTTTGATTACATATAGTACAAACCAAGGTATGTATCGATTTGTTTTGAACGTTTATCCTAGGTCTTGTATAATTGATTGCTTCAAATTCACCTTTTAATGTGATGTCTTCTCATTGACAAAATCTATATTGTTACTTGGTATTGTATGTGTTGTGTAATTGTCTATTTGACATTAACATCAAATATATTTTAAGCACTTTCAGCTCAGCTGGCCCAAAAGGGCCAAGTGAGCTTTTCTCATCACTTGGCGTCGTCCGTCGTCGTCCGTTAACTTTTACAAAAATCTTCTCCTCTGAAACTACTGGGCCAAATAAAACCAAATTTGGCCACAATCATCCTTAGGTTATCTAGTTTAAAAAATGAGTCGGATGACCCCGCTTGCCAACCAACAAGGCCGACATGGCTTAAAATAGAACATAGAGGTAAAATGCTAGTTTTGTCTATTATTTTGAAAACCTTTATGAATAGAGAAAATCTGACAGGGCAAAAATGTTTAGAATGTTGAGCTCTACCAACTGTCCATTTACGTCAAAATTGTCAGACGACTTCTTATAGGTGTTCTTGCTCTTAAATGACATATTTTACCATTTTTTTTCATTTTTGCCTATTATCTTGAAAACTATAATAGATACAGAGGAACATTTAATTGAAAAAATGGTCAGCAAGACAAGTTCTACAAGTAAGTTCACATTGTTGAAATCATCAGCCTTCTCCTTATGAGAGTTATTGCCCTTTGATGATGATTTTTACAATATTTTGCGTTTTTGCCTTATTTCTTAAAAATTATAATAGACAGATAGAAACTTAAATAGGCAAAAATGATCATCAAGACTAGATCTACAATTAAGATAATATAGAGGAAATCGTCCGATCTACTAACAAGTCACATTTTGCTGATAAATGTAGTAGGCTGTCACTCTTTATAGGAGTGATTGCCCAGCCCCTTAAATAAGGATTTTTTTTACCCTCTTTTGTGTTTTGAGCAAAAACTAAAGAAGATAGAGAGAAACTAAACAGGCTAAATGATCAGCAATACAAGATCAACAAACAGAGATTTTTCTTATTAATTCTATTCTTGTCTTCAATGTTGGAGAGTGTCCTTTGTTGAATATGCACGTATACCAAGGCGAGCGACACAGGCTCTTCAGAGCCTCTAGTTTAATTTTCTTTACTCCTAATATTATCTTTTTGGCATATTTTTCGGAAAGGGTATTTTTCTTTCATCACGTATAACATATTGTAGTTTGAATTCGAAAAGCTTCTATGATTTCAAATATGTGTTATGTTCTTGGCTTTTTAGCCAAAATGCATGCTGGAAGATAATACAGCTCTGTAGCTAACTGTTCACATATATCTTTTTAGTTTTCACATAAATAGTTTTATTGGAAGTGTTCGTAAAACAGAAATGGAGCATGATACCGCACTGTAGCTGACTGTTGGCATATAAAGTTTTATTTCGTTTTCACAATAAATGGTTTACTAGCAGCGTTCGTTAAACAAAAATATGGCATGACATTAAAAAAACATATTCTTCATTGCCTGTTCATCAATATTAAAATTTTTATTATTTGCATGTTAAATTAAACAACTTTCTCAATACAACTCATAATTATACCAAATTCATTGTATCCTATTTTTAAGAAAGCACTATAACCGTGCGTCTATCTGGTGTATTGATTTGCATATGAAGTGACAATGCGTATTTAATAATAGGCATGACACACAATTGTTTTATAGATAGTTGGGTTGTGATTTATACCGTTATTGGAAATGATAAAATCTTCATTGTTTTATCAACTTTTGTGCGTGAATATTAATGACACGGTAAGTAAAAATTTTATATACATTGTAGTTTAAACTGACATATCTGAATGTAAACGTTTATCGTAAAACACATATGTATGGGGGGTTTCACTTTCGATTTCATTCGACTAATATTGATTGCTTGATTAATTAGGCTAAAACGATTGCATTATTTACAAATCGAGCATGCTTTGATACCCAAACAAAGATAACTATGTTACAAACAAAAACGTATTGTCATGACTGTATGTACATTTTTTATGTAAGATGCAAGAAAATTGTCAATTTTACACTGGTAATATTTTCCGCATATATTATGTATTGTTTAAATGGATAAATACTATGAAAAATCTAATGTACCGTAATCGCAAACGACGCCTTTTTTGAACCAAGGTTCACCCATAATCCAGGCACAATGAAAGGTATTAATTGAAATAAGATGTCAGAATTCTTGAATCCGGCTGGTCCACATGTGACTTATCTTTATAGGTCTCCAAGAGTTAAAAAATCCAATCGATTCAAAATCGGGAAAAGGAAAATCTTTAGACAAAGGGATTTATCGGCTAAGTTATAACATATCTCAGATGACATATAGCCTAGTAACAATGTAAATACCTTACACGAAAGAATATTAAAATGTAAACAAGAATGACAAGATATTACAATCGCAAACTAAATCTCGGAAGAAGCCAATTAACAAGGAAGTGTAATCCTTTGCCAATCAGAGAAAGCATAATCCATGAAGATAACTTAAACAGTACAGGTATATAAATAAGAAGATGTGGTATGAGTGCCAATGAGACAACTCTCCATCCAAGTCACAATGTATAAAAAGTTAACAATTGTATGTCAAAGTACGGCCTTCAACACGTGGTCTTGGCTCACACCGAACAGCAAGCTATAAAGGGCCCCAAATGACTATTGTAAAACAATTCAATCAGGAAAACCAACGGTCTAATCTATATAAAAAACGAGAAACGAGAACACCTAAGAACCACAACAACAAACAACAACCACTGAACAACAGGCTCCTGACTAGGACAGGTGCATAAACATGCAGCGGGTTTAAACGTTTTCATAGGCGCCAACATTCACCCTAACATGAGACAGTAGTGTAACATTACAACATAAAAAGACACACTATAAAATATTAATTGAAATGACTTAACGATCAAAAAGACATTTAAACAAAAACAAATAAACATACACTGAACGAATAAGTTTGATCTATGACACAATATAAATACAATATTAAAACGTAGGTGCCTACATTATATATAGATACAAAATATTACTTAACTGTTCATTCAAGCGAGTGGTAGCACTGACTAAACGAACGCGTATAAGAAAAGTACAAGAGATGATCAAATAGGACTATATTCATCAAATATCAAAGATCAAATATAACGTTCACACTGAATAAACAATTATAACATCCCTTGTATATACTATACCCCTAACACCACAATATCAATGCAAAAACCTAATTTGCATTTTAGTTTATTTCAAACTAAATATTAGCGAATTTGTTTATACATAAAAAAATTAAAAAAAACATCATTATATATATAGTTGATCAACAGCAGCATAATTATAACCTACATCAGATAAATCTATGACGCCCGAAAGGACTGTGGGGAAAAATTCGTAAACTTGTTATCTTTAAATGTAATAAAACTATATGAAAAGCTTGGAATGAGATACCTTTATTTAGTATTGCTTCCAATATAACATGCTTCCAAAAACAAATCTATTTAAGATAAAACTTATTTTAGTTATGACCAATTTATGATTTCTTTTCCCTGCTGTAAAAGTGCTTTTAGTTAAAAAAAATCACTTTATGCTAAGGGGTCACTATAAACACGCGCATACTGAACTAACTATGAATAATTCATTATAGATACCAGAATTAGAATTTTGTACTCCAGACGCGCGTTTCGTCAACCAAAGACTCATCAGTGACGATAGATTAAAAACAAATAAAAACTAAGTAAGAAGTTAAAGAGCATTGAGAACTCAAAATTTCGAAAGGTTTGGCCTAATACAGCTAAGGTAATCTCGAATGAAAATTCCACACGAAGGAACCAACGACACATCGCAATTAAAAAGGAAAGGAGAATTAACAAAGCAAATCAAAAGTTGTTCCGTTCATTTTAAGAGCAATTCTTTGTAACAACCAACCATTGAAAATAAGGGGGTCGGAACGCATAGTAACCGATTTTCTTGAAAATAGCCATACCATATAATAAGGTGAAAAGTAAGAAAAGTGCCCTCCCCCCCCCCCCCCCCCCCCCCCCCCCCCCCCCCATATGTTGCCATGGCAACCAAGTCAATAAGTATTCCCGTACATTTTAGAGGATTTAGCATTGAAAAAACAACTACTTTATAGTCATACTGAAGCAAAACCAGATTACATTTAATGACATGTTTTAATTTTCCTAATCAATAAATTACAACAAAATGTTTCAGGGATTCAGGGTGTTAGGATGGTTGCGATTGAAACCAAAATGTGTCATTTTTGCTTTTTTGTTCAGAAATTTGACCATGTTATAAAGATAACCTGAAAACAGCAATAACTATTGAAAGCCTATGATGTGAAAACTATTGCGTGTAATGACCTTCAATTTGACCCACGGTCAAAGGTCATTGATTACCTTGACCTTTGATCTTGTGTATATTAATTAGATTCTGTAAGAACAAATAATAGAAAGTAGCGTACAATTTACATAGAGAAAATGTTCAGGACGATAAAAGTCACAATTTTTTTAAAGGCCAACGGTAAGAAGGCAAGGTCATGTCAAAAGTGCTGAACAACAACCCGTATTTGATACAAAAGTACCTAGTAACGATACATATTTTGATTTAGGAATATATGGACTACCAAATAGACCCTACCCAAAAGGTCAGGGTGAATGTCATCACATAAGTCCTTAGCAAGCATTCATTTATTGTGAAAAAGTGCCTAGCAACAATTTATTTATAATGGCATTGCAACAATATATTTTCGATTTCATTTAGACAGATATCGGAAAAAAATTGATATCAATACTTTTTTTAATTAGTAATCACTTTAAAGAACACAACTTATTTGTAGCGAATTGTTGAATTACACTGACTTGATTGCACACATGTATAATCAAAAATTGTAAATTATATGGCAATTTCAATTTCAAGGTTGATAAAAATAAGGGTTTGATTACAAATCCAAATACAAAAAATAAGAAGACGTGGCACGAATGTCAATGAAACAATTCTCCACAAAAGACCAAAGATTAATATCAAGACAGGTCGTTTGAATGTTCAAGAACAAGACGAAACGAACACAATTATAAAAGGGACGACTAATTAATTTCTTTCTTTGGGGTTGGAGATTTGGGCAACAGGTTTTACGTGGACAGAATAATCATTTCATCCGTAATAAGGGTTGATTACTTATTTTTTTTTTTTTTGTCGAAAACATTATTTTCCATTGTGTACATACCTATTTCCTATTTCAAATCGTATCTCGCTGATGTTCTGCAAAATTTCCTTTTTTTATAAAGATTTTATCTTGGTGTTCACATTTTCTCCCTTTCTATTATAGTTTTCAAGATAATTATAAAATCTCAAAATTTAGTTAAACAAATCTTTTCAGGCAATAACTGCAATAGAAAGTTGATTCACAGTTTCAGTAATGTTTACCAATTGGTAAATCTTTTCTTGTTGCTCATTTAAGCTGTTCACTACCTCTCTTTATAAAAGAGAAGTGAAAATTACTAAAGGGACATTCAAACTCAAAAGTCGAAAATAAACTGTCAACGCCATGGTTAAAAGAAAAAGATCAAAAGACAAACAACGTACACAAAACACTACATAGAAAATTAAAGACTGAGCAACACGATACCCAAAACCGGGGGCGATCGCATGTGCTCCTGAAGGGTAAGCAAAGCCTGCTCCACGTGTAGCACCCGTCGTGTTATTACACGTGAAAATGGCAAAAATCACATTGTTATTTGAAATAAGAACAAAACCTTCCATAATGAGTCGATCATGATTTATATGAAGATTAATTTGAAGATCTTCTTTTCCGATTATTTTAACTTGTTATAGTCTGTCTTTAACTATAATATATTTAATACAATTGCCAAAAAAACAAAAGTAGGAATAAATGACATTGAATGGCAATAAGAACCGATTGTCAATTAGTTGATTGTAGATCTTATTTTGTTGAACATTGTTGCTTATTACAGTTTACTCTATATGTTGGTGTGCTGTGGTTATTTTTTGTATTCTTGTCTTTCATTTTTGCTTATGTGCTTTGTCTATATGCAATTTTGTTTTTCTTTGTTGAAATATTTGTTGGTTTTTATGGTGATTAAGATTATAACACAATGTTGACTGCTGTACCCCTATTTTACCTATTATGTCTGTTTGTTTTGTTCACACATTGTTGTCAATTTAATGGAATTTTATGCGACGATCATACAAGTGAAAGGTTAAGCTAGCTATAAAACCAGGTTTAATCTACCATTTTCTACATAAGAGAATGCCTGTACAAAGTCAGGAATATGACAGTTGTTTTCCATTCGTTTGATGTGTTTGAGCTTTTGATTTTGCCATTTGATAAAGGACTCTCCGATTTGAATTTTCCTTGGAGTTCGGTATTTTTTAAATTTTACTTTTTTCTGTCTAGTATTGCTTTCGTTTTATAACACTAAAATCATAGAAAACTGTCACTAAAAGGCGATAACTCGTTAAAGGAGTCAACGAACTGATTTTGATCATGTTGACTATCTGTAGATCATCTTATATGATAATATAGCTGACTGACTTTGATGTTTAAAGTTTTAATTCTCTCTGTGTTTTATAGTTTTTCAACAACTTGTTTTTGCTGATTGTTTAGCTGTGGACAGTTTCTCGTTGTCGGTCATTAGTTTTATCAAAACACAAAGGATACAATCATCATTAAAAGGGGGAAAGTTGACTGACGATACTTGACAAATTTGACTTTCTTGTAGATCTTGTCTGGCTAATTATTTTGT